GAGACGTATGTTTGTGGTGTTGTGAAAAATTGTAAGAAATTAAATATGTGCTGTTTTAACCTCAGTGAGTACATCACTACGTGAAGTCGCTATTTACATGGTAACTGGGTGTTTATTCGGGGAGACACGGAGCGAGCGAGCTTAGGGAGTACTCGGAATATGGTACAATTAGAAGCTGATAGCGATAAATGTGAAAATGTCGGCATCAATGAGTTCTTCTCGATCTACAGCACCTTCTCTGCATAAGAATTTTTGTTTAACATTCACGTTTTAATTTCATGGTATCACTCCTATCTAACCAGCACATTCGGGTAATTTCGACTCTTCGGCACTTGTAAAGTGTTAGTTAATAATCATACGCCAAAAGGTTCGGGTTTTTCTGATAGCGTCAGCTGCTAAGTATCTGTCAAATGTAATATTTAGTCCCCATAATAAGCTTTTGCATCACTTAAAGAAACTCCAAGGGTTGGTGATGGTCGGTTACATTAACGTGAAGAGGATGGATGGTTTTTGTTTCTAAAATAAATGGACATGTTACGCGCCTCGCCTCCGCACAGGCTATATTTAATTTATCCACTATTTAATGGATGTCATTAAACATATAAACCTTCCTCTTCAATCACTTTCGTTATTGATTATACATTACACTATACGTTTTTTCATTATATTATCCGTTTCGTAGTTTTAAGCATACATAAGGGCATAGAGAAAATAATTGTTTCATATTATGTAGTGAAGTGGTAAACAAATTTCATTAATTTTTGAAAGAAGCCAAAATCACTAGAGCTTGTAACTTACACCATACAACAAGGGTAGATACAAAGGGGGTCGCGGCCGGCGCCAGATCGTCGCGTCGCCACAAAAAAACATTGCCTTCTATCTAAACAAGATTGTAAAACGCAATGAAAAATAATTGTTATGCCTATAAACTGTACACTATTTTAATTATGTTTTATTTAGAATTCGATTAGATTTTTCTTTCTTTGAAATGCACGAGTTAGAGGAAGCTTAAGTAGGCTGAATGTGGTACAAAGCGACGGCTGAATTTTATTGTACGTTGAAAAAGGCATTTAAAAATCGATTACGATAATTATGTAGGAAACACAAAGTTTATAACAAAGAACCATCCTCCTTTTTGGAAGTCGGTTGAAAAACTTCAAAAAGTAAACTAAATAGCAAAAAAATAATTAATGAAGTCGAAACACGAGGTAGTTACTGTAAACCGTTCAGGAGTTCCCTGAGCTGTCCATCGTTCTCATCATCAGACCCTTAATGACAGTCACGACCAATCTTGGTGCAAAGAAACCAATACGAATCATTCAAGCCCAAACACAAGGCAACTACTCTAAATAGTCAAGGAGATCCCTCAACTGTCTTCCGGCTCCATCATCAGGTCGGGTTCGAACATCGGCAAGTTGTAAATTTGTCAAAAGCCTACTAAAACCATAAAATATGCAAAAGCACCACTCGCCCCTACAATTTTTGAAAGTTGCCCTCGAATTCTCTGGTCTTCTATCATCAGATCCTGATTTCCTTATCATGGGACCATTCTGGTTCCATTCCATCATTCAATAAAAGAATTATCAAAATCGGTTCATAAATAACGGAGATATCGGCGAACAAACATAAAAAAAGCATATATACCGTCGAATTGAGAACCTCCTCCTTTTTGTGTCGGTTAAAAAACAAATGAATTTCCTTTAACTTTGGATTTAATGTTTATCTATATTAATATTTTATTTACTACAACCGGTCAGCCAAAGTATCCAATACCACTTTGTTCATGTGTACTTAGATAATTATAAGGAAAAAATATAAAATGTGTTATTTTCTGTTACTTTTATGACTATGTTTTTAAGTAACAAAACTAATTAAAAATCATTTTTTGTTTCATGTACGCTCCGGTGCACACAGGTAAGTAAATTAAATCACACAATCCTCCATAGACATTACTACATAATACAGATGCAAGCACATCAAACTACATCTAACTGTCAATCGAATTTCAACTTTGTCTCAAACAAGATAGAGCTGATAAGGTTTTACAGAATTAGTGTATTTTGATGTACCGGTGTTTGTACATACTTAAATCTCTAAAGTGCATGTTACCTACAAACTTTACGCGTGTCTGTGGTCTCGAAGTAAAAACAAAACGCCAACTTCAGCTAAGCGACAACCTTTTAAATGTAGTGCATTTACAGTACATCGTTTGTTTTGTAGTAAAGTTTGCTTGAAGTGTCTCAGAGATAAGGCAATGGATGATGATTTGGCGAAATTACTACAGTTTTGTTGAGATCTTTGAAACCACAGACTTAGTTTTATTTACTTTTAGTATACACTAGACATTGTTACATATAGTTTGACACTGTTAAGTCTTTTTTCTATACTATAAAATAACAAAACTTTAGTCTAAAATAGAAAAAAATACTAAAAATAGCTTTAGGATAGATATATTTAATTTAGAAACTAAATTGGGCGATGAATCGCTATAACAAAAAATTAATAGATTATTTTCATTATTTCAGAACGGGTCACATTTAAACCAGAGAGTAAGTTAAAGGTTTTTAAAAGAAAAATATTTGTGTTTAGAAAGCCTTCGGCTAATCTGGTAACTGAAAATCCGTCACCCATTGCTGTTTCAACCTCTTTTAATTTATACTCTTTGGTCATGACACTTTATTTTATTTTTCCGTTGTTCGATTTTCAAATCGAATTTTTGTTACTCCAAGAAATGCAAGATGGCGGATTTTCGAGAACGTTCCGGACGAAGCCAAAGCTTACTTCGCTAGAATAGAAACACTAATGCTTTCATTGCCTTCGTAGATGAAGATAGATCAATGGTAAATAACAGTAAAATATCACAATTTGTTTTGTTTACTTAACCCATGTTTACTTTTAGTATATAGTAGCAGCTCTTAACACTTATTTGTTTCAATAAAATATAATACGTTAATTGTTATTGTGCACAGTAAATACTTATTTCTTCGAATATATTTATACATCACTATTAAAAATAAGTACTCTCTGATAATAATTACATTGCACACGATATCAAAATGGTTCCAGGAATATTTTAAATATAAATGAAGTTTTATTTATGAATTCCGAGTAACTTTAATAACAGTATAGCATACCTGCGCAATATTTTCATAAATAAAATTCAATATTTTACCTCAACTGAAATTAAGTACAGACGAAAAATATTTTTTCTCAATTCAGACAAGGTAACTCGATTAGTTTCAAGCTACGTCTAGGGTCCATGAGTATGAACTTCGCGCAGACTTCTAGTTCCAGAGATTAGTGCGTTCAAACAAACTTTGCTTCATTCCTATTATTAGTTAGTATTATTAAAAGTAATTGTGTAGTATTTAGTACTACATACTAAATGAAAAAAGTTTAAGACATCAGCAGATAAAGCTACTTACATATGGGCGTTTCAACGCTATAATTGGTTTGCAATAAAGTTGAAATTCCAATAACATAGGTTTTCGCGTTCTCATCGGGTTCTATATACGTTTTTTTTTGCAAGCCTTTGGCACTAGTCAATAAACAAAGGGTTTTACAACTGACCATGTGTAGGTACACTGCGTAATAAATGCCAAAACTGTTTCATTTTTTTAGCTTCAACCAAAATATTGGCTACCATCTGAATTGCATACACATAAAAAAACGAATGCTTATCCTATCGTGTTGGATATTGTGGTTGTTTAGATATGCTTTTCAAAGGAAACGCAGGTTGCATAGGTACATACATTGAAAACGTATGCAGAGTAACTATGTATTTTTTTATTTATTAATTGTGGGAGTTTAAGTGTGGGAGAGCCAAGCTTCGGCACGAAAGAGTCGGCTTGACCGAAGTGATATCAAAGACTTGCAGAAAACCGGCGTGAAATAACCACAGCGTTGTGTTTCGCCGTGTGAGTGAGGTTACCGGAGGCCCAATCCCTTCCCCTCCCCTCATCCCTTCCCAATACTAAAATATTTTATTTTATTTAAATATCTGGCAACGCACTCGTAACTCCTTTGGTGTTGCGGGTGTCCATGGGCGGCGCCGATTTTTTACCATCAGGTAATACGCCTGCTCGTTTGCCAACCAATCCCATAAAGAATATAGGTAGATATACTAAAATACAAGGAACATACAACCCCCTTAAAAGTTTCGCCCTTGACATGAGAATACCAATAATGAAGACTTCCATGCTCGCGTGTAGCGCGACATCTGCCGGATTATATCGAACAACTTTAATACCTTTTGGGATTTCGACTTATAACGGAGAGAACAGGGAACAATTACATATAAAATTCTTTTGATATGATATTACAGCGCTATGCATATTGTTAAGAAAAAACGCCTTATTCCGTCAATTATTCTCATCCATGAAAGGTTCTGTAGCATCGAGTAAAGTAAAGTAAAGTAATCTTTATTGTGTTCATTGTGTTGATTACAGGTGTTATACATATTTATAGTGGTATACAGTACAACAATCAGCCCGTTTGGGCATACAATAATAAAAACAATATAGAGTACCGAGTAAAAGTAAAATACCGAGTAACATTATAGTTCAGTACAAATTCTGAATAATTTATGCAAAAACCTACCACTTGGATCTCGAAGAAATAACGTAACGCAAAACAATAATACACAGAGAAACCAAAAACGTAAAAACATTCTACAAAAAGCAAAGTGTAGTTCGGTTGAAAATCACAGCCTATATATATTTATTGGAAAATCTGGAAAACCATTTTCTACATTGGCAACACTGATATTTTCACGAGGAGCTAGCAACACCATCCGTGCCTAGTTATCGTTGCTCGAACACTTTTACAACATGACTTTTCCCAATGCGCAAAAAGTTTCTATAGCTGGCTGTCAAGATTGGCATCTGCAGCAAAAAATAGTTTTAGCAGACATACCAGACTGTTATTGGAAAATTTTATTCAATAGCTATAAAAAGAAAATAACAATAAGCTTCTTAGTTTGATTTTTTTTTATGTAATAGGTCGGACAACTGGCAGACGGATTACCTGATGGTAAGCAATCAGCACCGCCCATGGACACCCGCAACGGAGGAGTAACGAGTGCGTTGCCGACCTTTAAGGGATTAGGGATTTGGAGATTTAGGAACTGGGGAGGGATTGGGAAGGGGAAGGATTGGGCCTCCGGTAACCTCACTCACACGGCGAAACACAACACTGTGGTTGTTTCACGCCGGTTTTCTGTGAGGCCGTGGTATCACTCCGGTCGAGCCGACCCATTCGTGCCGAAGCATGGCTCTCCCACACTTGATTTAAAAATAGAATAGCTCGATGTAAAGAAGACCAAAGTTTTAGACGTGAAACAAAGGTTTTGTACCATAAGTACGTACAAAACCTTTGTTTCAAATAAATTGTTAAATTATAAAAAATGTTTAAAAATTTGTTTCAAAAATTATTATTTTTCAAATAAAGAACGATTACATAAGTAAGCTATAATATCTAAGCTTAAAACATGATAATGCTTCTTGTGAAGTCTATTTTTGATACCTAATGATTTTTATTCTAACAAATTCTGCTTTTTAGAATTACATTATCTAATTATAATGTCTCTTAGAAAATTAACTGCTTTTTAATAGCTTGTATTCAGTGTTTTCATTGAAAAACATCTTTATTTTATGTGTAATATTGAAGTTATTTTCTAATTGCTTGATAAAAACCATCGTGCCTTTTACGATACCAAAGGATAGTTACTGTTTAAAAAAAACTTTTCTTATTCTTAAACCATTTATTAATTCCATCAACCCTTTTATAATTTAACGTTATTGGCCTATGATTAGTTATAATTCAGTATAACTTACTCTAAAATTCAGCCCACCCTATAAACTTTTAATGATGATAGATTTAAAATAATTTTATGAATACTTAACCTGTGTATAGTGCTTTTACCTACTGTTTCTTAATACATAAATTATTAGTTTACTTGCTTTTGCCCGCGACTCCGTTCTCGTGGAAAAGTGACTTCCTACACATTTTTGGTATAAAAACTATCCTATATCCTTTCTCGAGTTCCAAACTATGTCTTTACGAAATTTCTCAGAAATTGGTTCAGTAGTTTAGGCATGAAAAAAAGACGGACAAACAGAGTTACATTTATAATATTAGTTTGGATTTGTTAATATAATTACCAAATACTTTTGAAAGTTTAGAATTATGCAAACTATTTTAGTTTAATTTTAATAGCAAGCTTAAAAGCTATTTAATAGATTTACTATGACATATTAGAAATTAAGATTCAGATTAAAAAAAGGTCTTAAATTTTTATACTCTTTCTTAATACAAAAACAACCTACAACGAAGAAAATCATTAACAAGATAAAACCCAAACAAAAACTTAGAAGAGACATAAAAACACCTTTTGCGCAGAAAAGGAACAAAACCATTTAAAGCAAATTACTTAAAAAAAGTCAATAAAGAAGGTTCCATGCTTGTTTACATTCTTGCCTCCATTAACCCTACACAGTAATGCTTGGGCCACACTAACGGAAAATGCCAATAATTATCGCGGTAATTATTATTGATGATATTAAACAATGAAAAATATACCTTAAGTCATTTGTTTAGTGATCAAATTACACCTACGATTAACGTTTATTATCGCGATATGTATTGGCATTCCCGTTAGTGTGGCCCAAGCATAAGATCGCCAAGTTCTCGGTCCCAAAAGTTGGATATGTCAAGAAACATTTTACGGTTGGCGTCTGGCTTTGGTCCAAATTCCCGCTGTCACAGTGCCGGTTGGTAACGACCTCACTGCCTTCCTTCTGTGCCTTCTGCTTACGATACCATTGTCGACTTCCGATTGGCTGACAGGATTTATGTCACCCCAATAATGCCATTGAACATCTTGTTTTTCCTCGATCTGTGTCAGGGTTACGCAATTTTTCTTACCTTAAAGGTTATCTATCTGTTTTTCTTTGAAAACTGTGGGTAAACATTGCGTTCCTTTACTTTTATATTTATGAAAAATAGTTCATTTATTTAGTGTACTCAGACATCTAAATTTATATTTTTTCGAACTGAAAGACCATAATTCAAACTTTTATCCAAATCAAGCCAAAACTTATCAGACTGTTACAACCCACTATTACTTTGTTCAAACAAAAATGATTGTACTCTAGACAAGATCAAACACCAAAAAAAAAAACTGAGATTTTATCATACCATTCCAATAAAACAATTCTGTTCTACAATTAAAAATCCACGTTACTGAAAGCCAAAAGAAATAAAACAAAATTGTCACGTGTTTTGTTTTTTGTTTTTTGCGACATTCAAATTTCACAGGTATTCAGGTATGGGAACAAAAAATACTTTGATAATAGACTCCCGATATTTTTATCAAACAATGTTAGGTTTATTATAAAAAATAAAGTTACAGTCGTTTCCCAAACAGCTTTCTTGTTTATATTTTTGCACCACGTGATTGTTTTAGTAAGAAGCTACGAGAATCTGTATCAAGAATTCTGGAAAAATAAAGAATTTGCACTAAATCTAATAATCTTTTTAATTAATTTTGTTATATTTTTTGTAGTGATGAATCCAATATACGTTATAGTAATGAATAAGATACACTTGAAACATTAAAGCATCATCAGTTTTAAAGTAGATTGGTGAGGAATATCCACAAAAACCTTATTACTCATGCTAGAACTAAATAAGTACCACACGAAAAAATCAACTGCTTACTAAACCATATTGAAACATTATTCCTAAACACATAGAAGACAACCAAAGCGATACTGCTATCTTACAGAAATCTAGAAGGTATTATCAATCCGCATTTTGGTTTGCAAATGTTCCTAGCCTATTCCCTTACATCCCGGGAGAGCCGTCTGTTTGGTCTGAATAAAATGTTCTCTCAAGCTCCACAACTACAGACGATTTGTTTTATCGTCTCCACTCTCTTTATTTTCATTGTTAGATTTCCAAGAACAGGAACATTACATTTATCTGACGGATTTAGACTTTTTTATATTAAATAATAATATCAACATGTAGACTGTTTGCTGTTGCAATATCCCTAGCGGCTGTCAGAATGGCGATATGTCGGACATTGGACGTCGTCGCCATGTTGGCAGCCATTTTCTCCCAGCGACACGACGTGCAGCGACATCTCTCCCCGCGGACACAACTTGAGAGTTCCATTTTCAAAGTTTGAAATCGCTTAAGTGAAACTATTGACGCAAATTCAATATTGGAATTTAGATTTGCATTTCAAACTTAATTGTAGAAGTGTTCGAGACTGTGATATGACTATTTTATGAGTGTTTGATGAGTTCTGAGTTCATTTTAGATTTCATACCTGTAGTAAGTGAACAATTTGAACGTTAACAATTTGAGTAACTAGAATAAAAAAATACATGATAACGTAAAATTAACTCATCGGTGTTCAAGTTATTGTAGTCAATGGTTTTCTGAAACCAACCAGAGAAATTTAATTTCTTAGTCGGCCTAAGCAATAAAGAAGACAGTTATTTTACTTAAATTCTCATTCGCTCCAAATAGTAGATTTCCTCCCATATTTTTACCCGCTTCTTTTTTCAGTTTGAAAAATTTTAAGAATTTTTTAAAAGCCAATACATGTTTATATACGAAGCTGCTAAGCTTAGCTGTCATTAGAGATGGCAGCACGTTCCAGAGTTCAAACAAGTCTCTCAATATCAAGTTAATCAAAGCACCGGACGGCTGAACCGCACTAATTGGACTATGCTGTATCTACGATCTTGAATGTTTCAGTTTAGTAGTACCTAATATATGCATTATTTTGCCTTCAGTTCTCATGGATGGTTTTTCATTCAGTCTCGTTATTTTTGGATATCTCGTATTTTTGGATAAGCCTTTATTTTTCTGTGTTTAAAGTATATTTTTTATTTACAATTATCATGCAGTAACAATGTACCTACAAAGAATAAAATGAAATAAATCAAATAATGAATTAATTTTTGTGACAAAACAGCGCTTTAAAAAAACTAGATGAATTCTTCATTTTCTATCTGACTACTGAGAAGAAACGCCGAAACAAACTCGGAGGTCAATTTCCTTAAGAAAAGAAACGATGTTGTTTTTATTCAGTCTTGCTTACTTTTTCTCGCCCCACCATAGCTAGTAAGCAGAGGTGGCGATCTATACTAATATTATAAAGAGGTATTTGTAAGTTTGTATGTAGGGGGTAATCTTTGAAACCGCTGGTCGGATTTCCAAAATTATTTCACTGATAAATAGCTACAATGTTCCTGAGTGCTATAGGCTATAAAACATCACGCTACGATTAAATGGAGCCGAGCAGCGGGCGAAACCACGCGAGAGTAGTTAGGTACGTTATAAGATTTGGCGACTGGTTCGCCAGTTATAGTAAGTGGTGGAGTTTCCCATGTAATAGACGATGACCTTTTTGCTGTACAACAAGAGCTTTTCCGATTTACCTATAATTTGCAAAAAATTTAAAAAATAAACAACAATAACATTTTGTTTGTGGATCATCGACCTTCGTTATCTATCCATATAATATCCATTAACAACAATTATTTACCCAAACATTGCACACACAAATTATAAACTTCAAAATCTTTAGGATTTAAAACGTAATAGGAAAAGTGACTTATGGTCAGTTTTCATAACTTTACACTATTTATGCAATAAAAATATTTACCAATAGTATGATAAATGAAAATTATCTAGTTTTCATATTTTCTAAATCAGACATCTCCAAAACATTTATCAAAAAGTTAACAATCAAGTAATGACCCTTTAAAAAGTTCAAATGGCAATTAATTGTCATTTTTATTATCCTAAACAAACTTTTGAGTAATTGGTTTTGTAAAAAAAGTCGGAAATTGTCCGGCTTAGTTTACCGAGACGACTTTAAATATTATAAAAAAGATTTCTCAGTTTATAATCTCCAAGGTCGTTTAGGATTAAAAAATTGTGCAAAAAATATGACTTATGGCCATTCTCAATAAATAGTCTATTGGGAGTCGACGTTAGTAGTCGAGTTAAAATCACGATGCTGAATTTTTGCAATCACATGGATTCTACCTGGCCGACAACAGTTTAAGTCGACTAAAAAATTGGTCACAGTAAGTGTAGTGCGTATGTGGCTTTCTAAAGGACACTTATTACCATCGAAGTTA